TCGAGAGCGAAATCAAACAAATAAAATGGCAATAGATCGGACATACACTACGCAAGTCGAATTCCTGTATCGCTAAGCAAGCCCTAAAATGGAATCCGCAGGGTAGTCGCCGGCCTGGCGCTCCTTCAAGCACATGGCGAAGAACAATTAATGCCGAATTAACATCAGCGCGCTACTCATGGAACGACATCTGCACGGCTGCTCCAAATAGAATACGGTTCAGAGAAATTATTGAGCCCCTATGCTCCACTGGGAGTTAACGGAACAAAGAAGAAAAAGATATGGAAAAATAGCCGAAACAAATATCAATATATTTCAAAACTGTCAAAATATAGATTTGAGTAATATAGCTAATACTCCTTGGTAGATTCCCAGAGAATCTACGTAAATAACAGTAACACAAACGATGTTCCAGTATTTGTTTTTCGGATACGATCTATACAGTTTTAATACGGTACACAAAACGTAGTTTGCCGTCTTATAGCTTAATAATTCATCCACATTCAATTACCACTTTTGCGAGACATACTCCAATGAAATTAGTTTTATAGATACCTAATTAACTGTGAAAATATGCCTGAAAATTCCTTTTTTTGAAAGTTCATTTTCACAACAAGAGAACAATTTCCTAAGACACCAAATCTTTCTGCCTAATAATTTGAAGTACAATTATAGCGAAACTGTTCATAGAAAATATTTACAACGAGTTAGATATAAATGGGTTACATTTATGATTCTCCTTTATAGCCATTTAATTCAGATTAATTTAAATCTAGGCCAGTGCGAAACTCACACCCGTACGTATAACATTTCAAATGAGATTTCGACACAGTTCAAATATTTTTCTTTATATAGTGGCGGGTTCCAGAAAAATTGTTGTTAAATAATATGTTGTCTTTGTTTTGGCATATATGTATGTTTATCACTTTTTGAAAAAAGGCCCATCGCTAAAAAATTTATTCAAAACACAATGAAAAAAGGTTCCATTTACTAATTAAATACTGCTATTTGGTAGGTGAAACCATCGCTAAAAAATTACTTTTTGAAAACTTTTATAGGTACTATGTTATAGGAACTCATCGGAAAAAGAAAAAAAAACCATTGTTTTGAGTGAAGAAGGAAGAAATAATTGACATTGTCAAAATATAAGAAGAACGACTCGATTATATTTTACACGAAAATTTGAAAATGAGAACGCTGTTAGAAAAATGGGTTACGCATTTACTCATAGATATTAATAAATGAGGGTTACCATTCTACCTTTTGTGAAATGAAAAGCCGAATCTATTTTGATGTTTTTATATGGCAGTCTAAAAACTGTCCAATTCGAATTTGGAACATGTGAATAACCGTGACATATAGGTACTCTTAAATTTTGAACGAGCAGGTTGTGTAATAAATCTTACTCAGAAAAATCTTATTCTACGTATAGGATTACTCATAGGCTCGTATCTAATAGATAATCATGCAAAATGGTAAGGTTATATAGCAGATAAAGACAGCACATTCTTGTTATTACTATGCTCACAGAATATAAATAGAATATCTTTCTTGTGATATGATAAATACAATTCGCATTATCTTAGAGCTATCATCCTAGTGGCCTTGGTAGATTTCGAAAAAGCATTTGACAACTTAAACCGACTATACATTTGGGCAGCACTCTTTAAAAGGGGGATGCCAAAAAAAAAAATTATAAACCTTCCGAAGGAGCTGTATAAGAATACGCAACACTGCGTAATCCAAAATGTCAACCCTCTCAGAGTCTTTTGACATCAAAACAGGTGTACAGGACAACGGTGTAAACTGTCACCATTGCTTTTCATTCTCGCGCTAGATTATATTCTCAACAGAGCGTTAAAAAATACCAGGTATATAGAATTCGCCAATGATGTCCTGCTGTTAAGTCACAGACTTTAAGAATCACAGCAAATTATATCGGCTATAAGCAAACAAGCTGTCTGTCAGTTTAAGAATATGCACTAAAAAAACAGTTCAGAATGTTAGGTTGCATGTAAATAATGGAGAAGAAGTAAAATGTGTAAACTCTTCCCAGGTGGGAAGCGTTGTGACAAATTAGAGCGGATCTGATGAAGATGTTGATGCTGGGATCAATAAAGTGAAAACTGCGTTTGAGAAACTGAAAAACATATGGGAGTAGAGTTAACTCATAGGGCAGACCAAACTGCGAACTGCGAACTTTAAAATCTATCTTATACTACGGATGTGAAACATAGAAGCACTCCAGAAATATAGAGAGAAAGATACAAGTGTTTGTCAACAACTGTCTACGAAGAATTCTGAAAATATGATGGCCAGATCGAATATCAAATGAACAAACGATTCAAAAAGCAACACAAAATGAGATAAAAATGAGTAAGTGGAAGTCGATAGGCCATACGCTGAAGTAATCGAGAGAATACGTAGTGAGGCAAGCGTTGACATGGAATCCGCAAAGTAACAGAACACCTGCGTCAGCAAAAACGTGGAGAGGAACGGTCGAAACTGAGCTAGCTGAAGCATAATATAACATACATGAAACGACATCTTCCGATTAGAACCCAATAGTCAAATTTTAAAGCATTATTGAGGCCCTATGCCCCACTGGGATGAATTGACACTAATAGTAGTATATGTTTCTTTACCAATGAATGTAATAAAATAATGACATACTCAATAAGTATATTCATATTATATGCTACAAAGAATGCTGGGTTCGAAAAATCAAACACTGGGCTTCTCTTAGGCAATATTTTTTTAAATGAGTTTTTAAATAATTGACATATTTTTGTTGTTTCTTTGTGATTTTTTCAAAAAAATAAAATTTAAAATTTTGTGCGTTATTTAATTAAAATATTTCGTTGTACTAGAATGTTTAATTAATATAAATTTAGTTGAATCGAAAACATAGTGAATCCTTGTTTTAGAAGAATTTTTGCGTGATTATTTCAGTTTTCATTTCCCACAATGGCACAGAGAGTACTAACAGTGAAAAAAAAAATTATAAAATTGTGGGGTTATGACGAAGATATAATCATCGCAGGAACTGTGTTGCTACCCTATTTTGGAATGTACAATTTTAAGATGTACATAAGAAATAAACCTAACAGATTTGATTACAAAAGTGCTTACGCAATTCTGAAGGGCGTGTAAATCCGTGTATGCCTTATTCCTATATTTGTTAGAAATGCAAAACAATATTTAGAATGGATCTAAATTTTCTCCTATTTTAAAGTTATTGCAACAAAAGCTTCAAAAAGAGGTTGGGCTTTCAACAGATGTGATCGTGAGATAGATTGAGCATGTTGAATACCCGTCTTAGACCTTTATGACAATTTCTTTACCTCATATCATCTAATGTGCTTATAGACTAAAAAAGGTATGCGCTAAACTGGGACAGTTCTCCGCTAACGCCCCATTGCTCGGTGGTAACAGTTTGCCACATGAAAAGTATAATTACATTTACAACACAGCAAGCGAAATTTTAGTTTGTCAGTGTCAGAACAATAAGTGGTAGAATTTTTATGCATTAGAATCTACATATTAAATAAGACTAAACAGCCTTATAAACAGTCAGCCTCATTTTATAAGAAACTATAACAGTGGCATGGGTAGCGTAAACTTACACGACAACGTAGCTCAAAGTTATCGGATGAATATTAGATCGAAGAAATGGTGCTGACCATTTACATAATGTTTATTAAATGCAGCTATAGTAAATGCATGGAAATTGTATTGTTTTGTAACAAAAACAGAAAACAAAACAAATGGCACAAACAGATTTTCGCGTTGAAATCGTTAAGAGATTGCTACTAGAAGATGATGTGTGCTCTTTACCTACCAAAGAGGAAGATATGAATATTGAAGATTATGACAGTTTAACGCTATATTTTCCAAACAGTTCTGGTGAATATGTTGTAATTTATCACAACTATAAAACGCAACGACTATGTATAAACCCACTTACAAAGACTGAACTTCTGCACTCCAAATGCTTCGAAGAGTTTCATGAAAAAGATAATACCTGTTTAATATAATTTACTCAAAATTATTAAAATAAGCTCTTAAAAGAAAACCTTTCAACATAAACTCTTCGGAAGAAGCAATTATGCTCTGTAATGAAGGTTCTATATTTATCTTTATTGAAACAACAGAGCTTGGAGACATATTCTAAGCCCAGAAGGGTGCACTATAGACTCGACGGTCTCAGTGCTATAACCCATACCAATAATATCAATATGAACTCTTATAAGCAACTACTGGTTTAGTATTTCAAACAAAATCCAGATGAGACCTTGCTTTCGACTGTAAACAAATATTTGCTTAAATGATGCCCATTGTTCGAAAAATTGAACATCCGTAACAGGTCAACGGATAGTCCTTAATAACTGATTGCAAAATCATATTTTTGGATTAAAATTAGTCTAGATAAGCTTCTGAACACAAAAAATAAGTTTTTTTTTTTGACTTGGGACTTAATGGGTTGATCACAGTCATCATCGAAATTTAAAACAAACCAGAACAAAAAAGCATAAAACTAATCGATAATGGTTCTGTTATCAACTCTTTTAAATATTTGAGAAAAATAAGGAATGATATAATAAAATACGCGTTTTGATTTGATAACAAAAATTTCTTAATGAAATAGATGAAATGGTTAACATATTATACTTCAGACAAATAATTATATGTGCATCACATTTTTTTTAAAATTTAAAAAAATTAAAATATTTTAAATTATTTCTGGGTATGTGGTTATATTTATAATATGGTATAAGATATAAACAAACAAAAAAAGTACCAAATTTAAATCAAATTTATAATAAAAACACTTATTTAAAGATTACTTGCATAGTAAATAATTATATGTGCTTTTTTTTATTGTGGTCCTGATTATGTTGATGTGATTGAACTTTTTTTTAATATTAATAGTTAATATTTTTTTCTTTGTTATTTAAAACTAAATCAAACCGGTTTAACATAGAATTGACTAGTGAATATAAAATAGACTTGCCAATTTTAACTCACCCACGTTCTATAACCGATTTAAGGTGTCGTGACATATTAAATTGTGTTCCATTTTTAAAATCATGGGCAAAAATGATCGCCTATAAATTCTTAATGAGATTTAAATCGAGAGTCAATACTTTCCACTTTAATACAGGAATTTTTCTGTCACCAAAAAATAAATTTGTTGTCTGTACATTGTGAATTGATGCATTATCCTGTTAGTTGATCCCATCATCACCATATAACTGCACTAACTCAGTATCCAGATGCTCTACAAATATGCTGGCATTCATTCGGATATATATAAAGCGTATAGAAGTCTTTCCTTTGTAGCAGAAGCCAGCACATACCATAACGGTCCCACCACCGAAGCCTTACTTGTTACAGGATACCTGATCCTGACGTAAATCAAGCCAATATTTTTTGTAAATGTCTTGACCGTCTAAATTAAATTTTTTCGCCACTAAAGACGACATTCTGACAGTATTTGACCCAGAATGGGTATTTATTTGCAAATTTTAAACGGGTCTTGATATGCCTCTCCAAAAGGTACCATTGTGCTAAGTTTAAGAAAGTAATTTTTATAAATAATTTAAAACATTATACTCCTTGTTATTTGAAGTTCCATAACATATGAGCCCCTATTTCTTCGCTGTTCATCCAATTTTCCATTGCCAGACGTCAAATTCGGCACTTGCATCGGTCATTAATTTTGGTCTTCTAGCCACTGCGTGGAGCTGTATTATATTCCGTCAGAAACCTGGAAACACAGTTCCTATGCCGGTTGAGTCTAGTCGCTATTTCGGCGATCTTCCTGATTATTCGATGTTCGTAATCAGACAAACTAGTATCGCGCGGCATTATAGCCTAACAAGATTAAATATTATATTACAATTTAGAACAATAGAAATATTTTGCACATATAATTATTTATTATGCAAAACCCAATGCACGGTATAATTTTTAAAGTAACTGTACAGCGAAGTACAGTATAATGACAGAATTTTCGTTGCATAGCAAGAACAACATTCCATGTAATAATAATGCATTTTCCAAAATTCGAAAAAAGTATATAAAATATTAAAAAAACATAAATACAATAATGCACCTATAATTATTTGACAGACTGAATCAAACTTAAAATACAGATAACAGAAGCCTATGTTCCGAAGCCATTGATTCCCGACAACTAAATGTAAACAGGCTTCCGCAAAAACAAAACAACTATCCGTGGTACAATAATCCTATTACGCATATCGTATGTTAGACCTAATATTAAACATTCTAAGTTTAATTCCAAGTTAGACAGTATTTGACTAAATAAATAGTTACTCTTATCAAAATATATAAAATGGACTCACCGATACAGATCGTAGTTAAAATGTTCAGCGAAAACTTTACTAATTGCTGTTCCATTATTGGTGCGTTCCGCTTTGTGTGCGCAGCTGTATATTAGCGCATATTGCATTGCAATTGATTTGCACTGGCGTATAGCAGGGGAAAATGCGCAAGAGTTCCGAAGTGCACTCATTTCCTCGACTGTGAAGTACAGAACATTAGTATATTTATCCGGTAACAAATCTATGTAGGGTTTCCAAAAGCTGGCCTCCTTCATAGCTTCGATTATAAGAACATATGCTAGTTTTATGTTTGTCATTGAACCCAAAGAAAGCTGTTCAGTAACGCGCTTATCAAGACTCTCTTCTGACAGTATTAGCTTACGCGGAACAGTACAAATTTCTTCATCTTTAGCTATATCCCGTGTTGCCTTCAAACCAAGATCATAACCAGGAAATTCTGCAATTTTAACACAATCAGTCTTGAGTCCATTCTCCATAGCCCACTCATAAAAAGCATCAATATGTTTCAAGCGAGCCTCTGGAGTAGTATTTACATTTTCACGTCGTAACGGTGCTTCTAAGATTAAAATTTCATTTAAAAGCTCTTGTATCTTAACATATTCTGCAAATTCAATATCAGGAGATGTTTTCGAATCTTTAACACTTAGTTTCCATAGCTCTGCTACCAAAGCATTTAATTCGTTGCGTTTTTGAAATGTTATTGTTGGGCGTTTGGCATTTTTATTTTTGGCTTGCGTTGCAGTATTTTTACCCTTATCCGCATTCTTATTTTTCTGCTTATGGCGCTTATCCATTTAGTAGGCTTTTTAATATATTATCGTTTCTTAACCTCGCGCACGTAATAATATTTATTAATACGCTTAATATAATTATATATAAAAATATATTTAATTCTGAAACAATTTTAGCCGAAAAAGGTAATACACGTGCGTCAAATAGCAACAAGAATGCGAACTGTCACTTGTTCAATGTTGTTAGGGAAATTTTTAGTGGAAATGTCAAATTTTAAATATCAACAAAAAAAATATATTTATTACCTGCTTTAAGTGGGAAATTTTGTTGTTCATTGTTCAGTGGCGACACAACAGCTGTTAATGTTTTTGTATATTTGTTTACTGCAGATCCTAAGCAAAACAAATGTTTTAAATTATTTTGTGGTGGTTTCAAAAAATACACACATTCCAAATGAGAATCCCTGGACGCATTAAATGCAAGCTGCTTGCATTGGTGGCTATTATAGTACTCATTTTTATTGGCACAATTTTTTTCACGAATAATGTAAAAGGCGATGAATTCTTGACTCTTCTTAGTTGGGACGAGAGCGACATGAATTTCGAAATTCATGGACAACAATTACCAAACTTAACAAATTTTGCATACACATTAGAAAATAATTTATGCAATAATAAAAAAGAATTCTTAGGTAAGTAAAATTATTATTTAAGCAATTACATACATAAACCATTTTTTTTTTGTACCAGCAATTATAATTGTGACTTCATATGCTGGACATGATGAATTGCGTTCTGCGCACCGGCAGGCTATTAGCCAAGTTAAACTTGCTGAACTAGGTTTTAAGCGTGTATTTCTTTTAGCTGAAATACCAAAAACTGAACATTTCATCAATCAAAATCAACTGCAAAATGAGCAGGAACGCTTCGGCGATTTATTGCAAGGCAACTTCATGGAGGGATATCGCAATCTGAGCTATAAACATATTATGGGCTTACGTTGGGCAGCAATTGAATGCAAGCAAGCAAAATTTATTATTAAAATAGATGATGATATTGTGTATGATGTATTTCAACTACGTCGCTATTTGGAATTGTTAGAAGTGCAACACGCAGAATTGGCTTCATCTGACAATCTATTATCTGGTTATGTTTTACGTAATACAAAACCCCAACGTAATATTGCCAACAAATGGTTCGTTTCTTCGCAAGAGTATATTGGCGATATCTATCCTGATTATTTATCCGGCTGGCTTTATATAACGAATTCAGCAACTGCTACAAAACTAGTATATGAAGCACAGCAAAGTAATTTTTTTTGGATTGATGATACTTGGGTAACTGGAATTCTACGTGAAAAGCTAAAAATTCCAATACAAACTTTGAATGCTTGGTACTCTGCTAATTCGGAATTTCTTGATTGCTGTGTACGTGACCTGAAGCAATATAATTATGAGTGCGAATATTTTGTTGGTCCAAATGGAGGCGACAATAAATTAATTGTAGAATTTTTACACAACGTAGAGAAATGCTATTTTGATGAATGTACGAAGCGTGCGCCAGACAAATCATTAAAACAAACTTGTGTGGCTAGTGTAAAAAATGTCATACCCGGTCACGGTGAAGCACACATTAAGCAACTAACACGTGTATAGTATCAAATTGCTTAAATAAGTTAATATCTTCATTCTCAAATTTTCTCGAAACTACTCGAGACTACAAAACCGTCCCAGTTTTAGATTAACTATGTATTAAGTATAGTAACTGTTATAAATACTCATATTTGCAATAAGCATTAGCACTTGTTAAAAAAATAAGTGCTATCCTCACTTCCTTACAATATCTCACATTAATTTATATTAAATTATGTTAGTTTTACAAAAAATAGTGTATATAGGCTCTAATCATAAGAACAGTGACAACGACTGTAATTGTATATAATTTGAACATGCAGTAAATTCATTTTACACTAAATTATAATTTGTATTGCGGGAAAAAAATATATTTGTTATATTAATTCATAATATTTTGATCGTTTTAACGATATCTGCTTAATATCAATAAGAATACAGATTAACAATAATATAGATTACAATAAAATTGACTAGTATTGTAACCAGTCACAATTTATTGTTCTGGAAGAAAACCTATTTCAGTTTCTTTCCCACGCTGAAACTGGGAAAGTATTTTTATTGTAAATATACAATAAAGTTACCCAGTCGCTGTAGACAGGTACCTCCGGCACGTAGTCGCAAACATTCTTGCAATCAATCTATTATACAAATGACTTTGAGTTGGTAGACGACTGGATCTGTAACTTAAAACTGAAATTTATCAGGGACCAATAGTTAACACAGAACCAGTTAAACTTAATGCAGGAGCGTAATAAGTTCTTCTGTGTGTCCTAGAACCACGTACAAACAGCACGTTCTCGTTCGGAACGCAGCAAACAGATCCGCTAAGCAACTAATAATAAAAATGTCGGACTTATGCGCGTTAAGACTTTAATAGATAGTTTAAATATAAAATGAATTATTTAAAGTAAAGATATTTCATCAATTAAAGTAAGATATGTAATAGAAATCGAATAATTTAATTGATGTTTAAGAAATATCATTCCAAAATAACAGTTAGGATTCCAAGAAAACTTTTTGACTAATCTGCAGCTATTAAGATTCTCCTAAAATCTAATAGAAGCTCTCAGTGAAGTGAAACCTATTGGAAAATGGTCCTGTATGATATATTAAGAGGAATATCAATAGACGCTGCATAAAGTTCTTTTATGGAAGAACTATATGGAACTATCTCTTAATATATTTATGTTTATATATGTAAGTTCTACTTCCCATTAATTATTTCATAACTTAATATGTAAGTTATAAAAATATATTAAAATTAAAACAATAGTGTAACATATATTTTAACTTTTTATATTAATAAATTTGAAGTCAACAAATCTTACAAGCGTTTTTATGTTACCTATTGGATGTTATATGTATAGTTTCAGTGCATTATCCAGTTTTAATTTAACTAATTATTTTCCTAGGTGCAATATTAGTAATGATATGATTATTATTATTATTAAGCCTTTTTCGAGTTAGTGCATCTGGGCAGTTTTACTCTATGATAGCTGGGGGTATTCTGCAGAGTCCCGCCAATCTGACTGATATGATATGAAGACATAGTATGAACGATATAAACGTTATAGAAGATGACATTTATTTGAATATATTAAACAATTTCAACAACTTATTTATGCATGTACAATATATTTGTAGGTACTTTGATTTTTTATTTGCAAAAACATAGTTACAGAAATATTTAACTAAACAAAATTGAAACATTAGAAAATATTTAATAAAATGATAAAAATAAAATAATAATGTTTTTAATTCTTTATTATTGTCAATTTTTATTAATGCAATAACGATAGTTCAAGAAATGTGTAACATATATTTATTCATTTTAAAATAATTTAAAAAATTTAGTAACCAATAATTGCTTAAAGATATATACTATGATAATTTAAAAAAATAATCTTCCCTGACGTTTCAGGGTTGATAGCTCTTCGCATAGGTGTTTCAAAAAATTGCTTAGACCACAAATTTGTTTATGAAATTTGAGATCACATCGTATGAAATTATACACAAATAGTTTGTTTTTCATTTAAATTCTAAAAACTATAAAAAATAAAAAATAACTAATTTACATAGCTTTATTGCAACTTGGGCATTTGTTGGTGCCATGCCTACGACATTCCCTCAAACAGTTAGAATGCAGAGCATGTCCACATTTTAAGTGTGACATTTGTAAATCTGCCATTGGTTCCAAGCATATCGAACACCTATCCCCAGGTTTGCTGAAACATATACACAATTTATTTTGAATCATACTCTATAAATCGATATATAAAATGTTTTTTAATATTATACGTACGCTCTGAATCTTTTTTCCTCTCTTTCATCATAATCTCTATAATATGTATCCTGGCTGCCGGTGTCATATTCAATTGAATTCATATTCCAATGCCTGACAACGGTAGTAACAACGACGCAAGCGGCAATGCCAAGGACTAAAGCTTGCCAAAGTATATGCATTTTATACTATTTACACTGAAATATATAAATGTGCGCAATATTTTATAACCAATTCTTCTATTTAATTCTACTATTTATTACCAACTGATGTAACACTTTATTACGTATATGCTTCACACAAAAATCCTGCGTCGTTTTCTTACGGGAATACCCGATTTTAACTTAATATATCGAAGTTCTATCTCTTTAGACAGTCAGGGGTACGGCAGCAGTAGAACTGTAAAATACAATTTCAGTTTATTGATCAGAGAATATCGAAGAACAGAAACTCGTTTATTTTTGAAAATACCATAAGCACAGAATTCCTTTAAAGCAATTTAATTTTGATCGCACTTAATACGTAGGAGTGACAACATCACAACAATGCTATGTTGCGCTTTTTTAAAACAGCTGTGCATTATTCAAAGTGCATTATTGTTTATATGGATGTGCCTTTTTAATATATGTAATAAACAAAATTTTCTTACTTTTAATTTTAGTAATCAAAACCAGAATAGTTTTGACTAAATGAAACAAATTAATTTTGAAAAAATTAATAAATAAATTCTATAAATATTCAAGTTAACTATTTTAATTTTAATATTCATCGGCCAAAATATTTTTCAACTTTCATTATTTATAAGACTAATAAGGCTGCGGTTACATTGCATGCAAATTTTGTCTTGCGTATTCGTACGAACAAGTCAAATGTATGTAATCCAATATGAGTACTGGTTACAGTTCTTGAGAATTATTCGCGCGACGTCTTGTCTTTCTCATATGAATATTTGTTTAAACAAAATATTTTGTTTGAAATTCATATGTTCATGCAAAATCGAAGGGGCAAATAGTGAAATTGAATGATGTGTGTTATATTAACGTAATTTTAAGCTTAAAAAAGAAAATATATATGAAAACATATACAGCTTTTATTTGAGGAATAGATAAATTCTCCATTTATTTTTTTGTTATTTTAAAATAATAAATAACTTGATAACGAATTTTCCGCTAAATATATTTCAACTTCACTATTACTTTTATTCTCAAAACAAATAAAACAGAACTGTCAATTCGCAAACAATGTAACTACAACATGTGATGTGTTCGCATGAAAAACATATGTACGAACACGCAAGACAAAATTGCATGCAATGTAACCCCAGCCTAAATTGTATAAAAATTTAAATTAACAAGATCATATATTACATGGATTAATAAATACCCGGCCTAAGTAATAAAAATCCATTTTTTTTTTGGAAAATTGTATTTTATTCTTCAATATGGTCCCATTTTGGCTTGACACACCGAATCCAACGATCTTTCAACATTTGGATACCTTTTCAATAATACGATTTATAAAGTCCTCCAAAATATACTTCAGTTTCCCATTCCACTTCATCATTTGATGCAAATCCCTTTCCCGGGCGCTATCTTTTTAAGTTTGGAAAATTTGGAGAATACAGTGGGGGAGGAAGCAATTCGTATCCTAAATCATTTAATTTAACTATAGTTTTCATTGACGTGTGAGCGAATGCATGTGGTCGTTTTTTCTTCATATTCTCATTCGATTTAATAATATACAATAATAGTCTAATGTTATTATTCTTACTTTTTTTCCAAATAGTCTATAAAGATTATTCCACTTAAATCCCAAAATGCGGATGTATTTTCCATTTTATATATAAGCATAATTGTATACATAATTAAACATCTTATCGGATAGTTTGTCAAACATATCAAAGCTTTCATCATCAAAATATCTGTATATTAAAGAAGCACTTAAGAAAGAGTTGTAATTTGTTTTTTAAGCTTACGAGCAAAATTTTTTCGTACTCTGATAAGAAACCGTATTGACAAATGTTAAATATATAGTGATGTTATGACATTTTGATGCAAGGAAAACAAAAACACAATAAAAGTCACTACAGCTGATTTAGAATTTCTATAACTTTGACTTTCTTAGTTGTAGAAACTCGTTCACATGAATTTTTCATTTTAACATATATTCTGTCGAATAACAAGTTCGTTATGCATACTCTTAACAAGCATGTTCATTAATGGCAACAGGATTTGATTCCACAATTACAATACACACCAGCTGTTATTGACAGTTTATGAGTTAAGGTTATATCACTTTTGCCATTAATATTTTTTTTTTTAATTATATATAAAAGCAACAACTAATTTAGTGAAAATTATGAGTTTTCCTAACAAAGAACAGCGTGCAAAATGTTGGAGCAGCCGTGACGAATATTGGAAATGTTTGGATCAAAATTCACCACAACATAGTTCGACTAGCGGCGAATCTGTGCCAAACGCATGTAAACAAATGCGAAAACTATTCGAAACCAGCTGTCCAAGTCAATGGGTAAAGCATTTCGATAGAAAGCGTACATATGAACAATTTAAAGCAAAAATGCAAGAAGGCTACGACCCAATACCAACGGAGCAAAAGTCAACAAAAAGCCCAGGAGCGTAATGATATTTACTTTTTAATTTTATTTCTTGTTAATAAATTAATTATTATTACTTTATAGTTAAATTTGTTTTATATTGAATAACTAAATATTATGTATATATTGAATCGGAAGATTCGTCACCATTTGCTACATTGTCAGACGGATTGTTTTTGTCCAAATCAACGGATATTGATACAATATGCTTGCCAGGTATCATAACGTTACCTAATATGCGTGCATCTTTGCCATCTTCCAAATATTCAGCGCACATAGAGAGTACAATATTTGCGTCTTTGTCTGTGCAATTGAAAAACCCGACCAATACTCGTCCATCTGATATGACTACACGAAATGTTTTACCCAACCACTGTGTTAACCTTCGACGACCTGGACTTAAGTCATCCACATTTATTGTTTTTGCATTTGAAGTTATTTTATTTATCATGGGTTGTTGTGTATCATGGGTCGCAATACTTGAGGCAGTGGCTGTATTTAATGCTTCCTGCATGGCCTCCTTCAATACAGAAAATATATATGTATAAAAATTCTAAATAGACTGAAAGAAGTTATTGTGAACTTACCTGGAAATCTTTAGAATTAGCGCCCATGACAAAAAATATTTCACTTAAAATTTTTTATAGAATGTTTTCAATTCTAAATAATACCAAATTTATTATTGAAACTTTTTTCCTTGCAAGAAATGTCAGTCTTGATAATTTTCTTTATTTGTGGAATGTATTCTTAGTGTTTCAGATAAAAAAAAAATAATCTTAATACATATTTGGCGTTTACACTGATTAGATTTTGGCAAAATTTTTATGTTTGGCTATAAATACATATGGAAATTTTAAAATTTGTCTGCAAACAGAAATTTATATAGGTAAGTGAAAACCTGAATTTATGCAAACTCTTGCCAAACTTAACTAGTGTAAAAGCAGAGTTATTATACATTTTAATAGAATTTCAATTGAATAGTGAACATGTACATGCAGATATATAAAATAACATAAGAAAAAGAAATAAATGATTATATATATTATTATATATAAATTCAAGAACTTAGTTTAATCGCAAAAGATTTCCAATTGTTACTATTACGCGCTATAGCTCTTAGTTCACTGTAAGATTTGCCAGATTCTGTTGATTGTCCTTCTCCATACAGTCTTTGGTTGACCGCGATTTCTTCTTCCTTGCTGATTTCATTCTAGAGCGGCATGTGCGATTTCGCTGAAGAGTTTGCGTATCGTTCTATGCCACCAAATACTCAAATTTTTTTTCATAAACCTATTAATAAAAATTTGTAGCCTGTATGTGATGGCGACTGTTACAAACTATGCTTCCAAACCGTACAGCAGTGCGGTTTTAACACTAGCGTTAAAGATTTTTATTTTTGTTTTTAGTTGTAAGCCTTTTGTTCTCCAAACTTTGTTTAGGCTGATAAACGCACCTCTTAACGAAGCCGATGCAACGTCGCCCAAAGCACCACCATTGGTGGGTAAAATACTTCCAGGTTATTCAAACTGTCTGACGTCTTGTACAAGGGCGTCATCCATAGTAAATTGAGCAATATTAATAGAAATAAATAGTTCAAAAAATTGACACAATGTTCGTTTGTTTAGATGAAGATTTAGATTTAGATGAAGAAACGAGAATCGAATAAAAGCAGCTTTCAGTGAATTCGTTATTTTATTTATGCATTAAAAATGTCATACGATATTTCACCAAAAAGTATATTTAAAGCGATATTCTGAGGAGGAATATATTATTTAACTAAATTTATAGTACTAAATTGTAAAAGCTGCGTTCAAAGCAATGGTATATGGAGATGAAATTGATTTCGAGAATAAATTATGTTAGGGTTTGTTATTGTTAGTTAAGAAATACTGTAATTCTATTATAAAATATATACGTATGACTGTCTTGTATCTTGAGATATATTGTAAATGTTGTACTTCCGATTCGATAACATATCTTTAGCATTTATTGCGAACGTCCATAAATCGAAATAATTTTAAGCATCGCATATCGTAACACATCTTACTATATTTATATGTATACGCTAATCACAAAAGTTTATGACGACATAGTTCGTTTTCCTTATTTAGTTAAAGAAAAGCAACGTAGTAAAGGATATGTTCATGCAAAATACACAATTTACAAGGGCCACAATACTCTAGCTTTAGCTTAAAGTGTTTTCAGATTTTGTTTGTGTGAAATACAATAAAAAAAACCATTATATCATGTGTGCTCCTATTTACGCAGCTTTTGTATTCAATATTAAAAATTATTTTTTCATACCTCAAAATGCAACTCTACACATCAAGTAAACTTAAGTGAGAACATGATTTCAATATCTCTCTTATAATCTCCGATTTATCTTTTAAGCACATCAATCGCTTTCTCGTTCAAATTTTGAATTTTTATTTTGTTATTGTCATTGTTTGTTTTTATATTAAATTTCAGTGCTAAATTAGAATCGCTTAACTCGCTCGACGTACAAAATTTAATCTGTTAACATGAATAAAATCGTTTTTGCCGTCATAACAAGTAAGTTCAATTACTTTTATTAAATAAATTAGAATTAATTTTTGTCGAATTATAGTAAGTGATACTTGTGCTGAAGATGCCTCGAAAGATAAAAGCGGCCCACGTTTAGTTAGTCTTATCAAAAATTCTTTTCAAAATGCTGAAATTACAACAAATATTCTGCCTGATGAATATGAACTCATACAAAAAGAGTTGAAATACTTAGCACATAAGAGAAAACCTTCCGTTAGTTTTATTATCACAACAGGTGGCACCGGTTTTGGAGTGCGTGACGTTACGCCAGAAGCAACTAGGCCAATTTTAGACAAAGAATGTAATTTCTTGACTATTGCAATTGCAATGAATTCATTGCAAAAAACCAAATTTGCTGCACTCTCACGGGGTTTGTGCGGTATAGCGCAGGACACATTAATATTAAATTTTCCAGGCAGTGAAAAAGCCGTTGTAGAATGCTTCGAAGCTGTGCAGGATATTCTGCCACACGCCTTACATTTAATACGTAACGATCTGACGCTAGTTAAGAGTTTACATGCTGAAATACAAAATACCAACAGTTCTCATGCAAGTGCTATGGATGCTCCTATTCATATTTGTCCGCATAAAACTGGTACCGGTGACGCTAATGATCGTAATTCACCATATGCTATGACACCTGTAACTCGGGCACTCGATGTTATTTATGAAGCAGTACAACCAAAACCAGAGATAAACATAAAAAAAATACTGGATGATTTTAAAGCACCTGTAAATGTACCACCATTTCGCGCTTCCATCAAAGATGGTTATGCAATGAAATCAACTGGTTTTTCTGGCACAAAAAAGGTTTTAGGGTGTATTGCAGCGGGCGATAAAGTAAACTCATATATGTGATATTTATTTTAATGAAATTAATTGAATTTGTGAATATTTAATACAGGTTAATATGCATAAATTACAAGAGGATGAATGTTTTAAAATAAACACTGGTGCAGCTATTCCACATTATGCTGATTGTGTCATACAAGTAGAGGATACGAAACTATTGAAGTTCAAGCAACAAGATGATGAAATAATAGAGCAATTTGTCTCCATTATTGTTGAGCCAAAGAAGGATTTGGATATAAGGTAAATTTTATTTAACACATTACAGCATAAATTTTGTCAATATATGAATTCTTATGAATTGGAATGAATATAACGACTTTTGGAGATTATTATAAATATATAATATATTCAGTTACATAAGCCCCCATAATAGAATGTTATCGATACATAAGAATTGTAATTAATTAGTATCCGATATATCGAACGTTATGCTGTGATGCGTTAAGAGTGAACTATCTTCATAAAAACTATATGTATTCTTTACAGACCTATAGGTTGTGACCTCAGCAAAGGCAGTAATGTGTTTCCCATCATTGACCATACGCCAGTTGTTATAGAGTCGATATTAGCATCAGTTGGTGTCTTTAAACAAATTAAAAAACCTAAAGTCGCTGTAGTATCAACTGGTAGTGAATTACTAGCACCAGGACAACCAGAAGTCCCGGGAAAAATATACGATTCCAATTCAACAATGCTAGAAGAACTATTGAAGTATTTTGGTTTCGATTGCATGCGTAAAGAAATTGTGTCAGATGAGTAAGAAATAATTATTTAATAGCTTTTCTTCAGGAACTTAAGTTAAATAATATTTATTTAGTTATCAGAGTGTGAGAAAAGTTATTGCTGATTTATTCAAATCGGTTGATTTCGTAATTTGTAGTGGCGGCGTATCAATGGGTGATAAAGATTACATTAAACCAGTGTTGAAAGAATTAAAATTTAATATTGATTTCGGACGCGTAAATATGAAACCAGGGTATATATAAATATTTGAAACTCATCATACTTTTGTACTCATTTAATGTTGTTTTAGCAAACCTATGACATTTGCTTCACGTTCGGAAAAATATTTCTTTGGATTACCTGGTAATCCAGTTTCGGCGTTCGTAACATTTCATTTATTTGTGCTACCAGCATTACGTTGGGCTTCTGGTTGGGCGCGTGATAAATGTGAACTCTCAACTCTATCAGTCACGGTAACGATCTTTAAATCATTAATCAACTACTGCTTGTTATATTCTTTCATTAAATTTAGTTGGAAAATAAAAGCATTGCTTTAGATCCTCGTCCGGAATATATGCGTGCGCAAATAACTAGTAAAAATGGTCAATTATATGCATCCATTAATGGAAACCAGGTTAATATATATAAACAATTTTTTAAATATCAAAGCATTAATTTATATATTATTAACTCTATCCAGATGAGCAGTAGATTGCAAAGCATTGTTGGTGCCGACGTTTTGGTGCATTTTCCAGCACGCACTGAAGGCAAAACACATGCCGTTGCTGGTGATGTATTGCGTGCCTCAGTTTTACGTTACGACTTCATTTCAAAATACGAATAATTGAAATTTATTTTATTTAAAACTTTAACTGGTGTTGGTGCAATATTGAATGTAAACAGTTACACTGCATGCCATAGTACTGAACAAATTATATATATATATATTTTTTAAAAATTATATAGTTTGGTATAATCAAACTTTATAAGTAGGCAGCTATTATATACAAAATTTAAAAATATTATTTAATACAATGAACACACAATTGTTAAACAAAAATGTGCAAATATTAATGTTAATAAAATTTATTGTACTATATTTATATAGTATATATTTTATCAGAATTTATATAGTTTTAGTATAATCAAACATTATTGGTTGTAATGTAAGTATTTTTATTTTTAATTATTTTATATATATATAATAGCAACGTAATTTATACAACTCACAGGAAATTTACTTAGTAAATATCTTCTATTGGGTCAATTGTAGTATGATACTCCAGAAACTCCGATATGCACACGTATGCCTTGTGCTATTAGATTCAAGTTGGTGTGTGATTTAGGACAAGATAACAGATGAGCGATATTATGGGGAGTAGACCAGCAGGTAGGACACACATTGGGAATTATCATATTTATGCAGAATTGAAGGCAGATGTGGCCCTGGAAGACGAAAAATTTCATGGCTGAAGAATTTATGTCAATGGTTTAATAAAAGTACAAGATCACTTTTTTGAAAGGCTGTAGATAAAGTCAAAATAGCAATCATGTTAAACAACGTTCGAAGTGGATAAGGCATCTAGAAGAAGAAGATGCATGACAAGTAACTGTTTATGTTATTTCCCTTTTGGAAGGTGTGAAAGGAGGCCTGCTTTTGGAATGATAGCAGAGAACGTCATCATTTGTTTTCTTATGAAAACATACAACATAAAATGAACTATCAATCTTAAGACATTGAATGCAGTAACGTTTAGGACACCACTAATATGCAGTTCATTCTACACTGTACACTTTAAGGTACAAAGACCGATAATAACATTAAAATGCCATGTATTTATGATAAAAAAATTTGGGTTTACAAAAATTGTCCACTTTATACGTTTTCTGACCTTGAAGAAGTGTAGTGTTACCTTTCTTAATGTCTTCAAAGATAAAGTTATTCTGATAATTTCTGTCAAAGACAAAATTTTGTTTTATTAAATTATATTTCGCACTATTGTGTAGAGGATCAGATGGAAAGCTATGTTTCCTAGTGGAAATGATTTATTTGGTTTTATTTGACATTTTATTAAACAATTTTAAGCACATTTCGGCAAACTTTCGGTAATCATCCATTTGTACAATAGGTTTATAGCCCGTCTCTAGCTTCCTTTGTAACTCTATTTCAAAGAATAACATAGATTAATAGTAACTAGCTTTAACAATCCTGCTTATTGATAAGTCACTACTTCATACAAGTGGGTAACTGGGAGAGTGGCTAACTATTGCATAAAGAATATGCTGTTGATGGTGTCTTCGGTACTCTAATAGTTTCAAATATTTTTAAATGGTTTAAGCGGAAGACAGAAGAGTGGACAGCTCATTCTATATTAGAGGATCATGAAAAGAAAAACGAAAAATATGAATTCAAAAAAGAAATTAATTTATTTTACATTTCTGGTCAAATTTTCAAAAAAATATATATAAATTTTTATATAGGTTATAAATATGTGTAAATATGTACAGTAGCTTAAAAAGATTAAAAAATATTTGTTAGATTTTGTAGCTTTAAGTTAAACAAACTATTCAAAATAACTCGACAACAACGGTTCCGGATAAATTTTTCTAGAAAAGATTAATTTCGTTAAGGGAAATGTCTTAATTTTAAAAAAGATTTGCATATATGTATAATTAACTTTTATCCCGAAGTATTCCAGTCGAGATATTTGCAATAGCATGGTTTCTCAATATGAACATACATCTATGGAAGTCTTCATATATACATATTTTAATAGATTTTATATGGGTTTACTTTCCAATATATAGTCAGAAATATTTATAGTAAGAGAATATATAGTCAAATCTGCTAAAATATGTTATACTTCGTCTATTTTTCAGTACAACAGAAAAATTTAAACAATAAGACTACTTTTTACCACCTATATTGAAAAGACTAACTCTATCGTTGGTACTGATGTATAGAAAAAAAAATATATGTACGTACTTCCATGAAGCTACAAATAATAACAAACTATAATAAAATAATATTATTAACAAATAAAAATTTTGTTTTTCACAATTTTGGAGCGTCCCCAATTTTGTTCAATTATCCAAAAGTTTTCTAAAACAATTATAAAAAAATCCAAATCAACAACATTTTAAACTTTTTGAACTCTGCTGGCTCCATCGCTTAGTTTCGTCAAACGGAATGACGAACGACATGGCAACATGAAATTATATTTGCTATTTGGCACCACTAATTGGTAACGTTCCTTTGGTGGAAAGTCCCATAAGGCTCGATCGATAACTTGTAAAGAACTGGGTGGAAGTATATCCGCAGTGTATTGCAAGGGTTCGCCTTCAGTGCTCGTATTAGCTAAAAATACCAATAGTTATTTTTTGTAATTTATAAGACGAGAGTAATTTGGATATATAAAAAGTATTGAGTAATTTTTTACTAAATTGTGTCAGCACTATTCACTCTTTTAATTTAAATATACAAAAATCAATTAAAAGATACAATAGTTTCTACACAACTAATATTTGAATAACTTACATTGTGGTTCCGGTGCTTTGTACAATGATTCGGCAGACATACCACTTGTATCCAAAGCCACAACACTCACTCCATATTGCTTCACTTCTTTGCGTAGCTCCTCTGCACAAGTTTCTACAGCAACACGAGATGCCTTGAATGCTACCAAACCCTCACTATCACTACTGCTTGCACCCAAATAGATTAGACGTCCGGCGGTAGGTCGTAGAAAAGGTACAAAGGCCTTAGCTACACGCAATGAACCTAGAATATTTGTTTTTAACATATGTTCCCACTGTAGCACCTCCTGTAACTCTATGCGTCCACGAAATAGACTACCACTCGTATTAATCACTGCTGATATACCATGTTGTCCAGCATTTAAGTGTGCATTTATGGAAACAGCGGCTTCACGTAATTTGTCCTCGCGCGTTACATCCAATTTCATCATTATAATAGAACCACGTAAAGGTTCATCATCAAATTCCCGCATGCCAACCCAACCGGTAAGCAGTTTGGCTGGCAGCGAATCATGTATGTCCTTCATTCCAGCAAAAACACGACAGCCCTTGTTGGCTAAATGTGTACACAATTGCAGTCCAAGTGCTGTATCGGCACTAGTTACCAAAACAACGGTATTATGTTGACTCATAGTAGAGCTCTGCTCAACTTCTCGTACCTTACAAACCAGATAGATGAGTAGTGCCCCTGCTATTGAGAATAACGCCAGCAATTGGAAAGCAAAAACCAATGCGGTCATCGGCTCCATTATGTCATCGCTGTAAGTAAAATAAAAATTTATTAATAATGAGATTTTCATAAGAAACTTTATAAGAAATAAGAGGAGAAAAAAGTTTGTACATATTTTATAAATAAAAATAATTTAATAATTATAGTTAATTTAATAATTTAATAAAATAGTACAAAATTAATTTAAATATATAGGTAAAAATAAAATAAAATAAATAGTATGAAATAAAATAAAATATAATACAGTAAAAATAAAATAAAACATATTCGCTAAAATACTTAATATAATTAAAAAAATTATATAAAAAAGAATAAACTAATAATAAAAGAATAAAAATGAAATAAAAAAATCTAAAAATAATTAAAATACAATAAAATACAGAGAAATAAAAAACAAATAATAATAATATAAATATTAACTGAAATAAAATAAGATTACAACAAAAAATATTTAAATAAAAATAGAATATATGATATACTGAAAATAAATTAAGAAAAAAATTAAGAAATAAAATAAAATAAAAATAAAGAAAAATAAAGAAATTTTAAAAGAAAGTTAAAAAAATCAAAGTAATTAAAAAAACACGACATATAATAAAACTATTAAGGTAATGTGAAACAGAAAATATATATATTAATATAAACGAAAGTGGAAATTTAACATTAAACTAATTAATAAAATAAAAAAAATTTATTAAAAAAAATTATAGAACGGAATAAAATAAAATACAAGGTCACATAATATATGAAATTTTATAAAAAAATAATAATATGGAAGTAAAACAATATATATAAAAAACGAAAGTAATAAAATATAATAAATAAAATGAAATGAAATAAAATAAATTGCTCTACAGTTTAATAGTATATATCAAAAATAATAATCTAATAAACATTTTATTTTATTATGATATCATGCTTATATCATATCGAATTAATTATAAATTATTCTAATTTTTTGAATAATAATTTTGTTGAAATGTCTTAATTTTTTATTAAGATTTATGTTATAATTGATTTATAGCAAGTTCATAGAAAATCACTTAGCTATATAAGTGGTAAATAAGTATGGAAACATTTGTTTTATTTGTCTATTTTATACTTAATATATAAAGTATAGAATAGAATAGTGCATATTAACCACTTGGACGTAGTAGAAATGGATATAAGTCGTCAACATTAGCTACTGTAATAAAAAAAGATATTGATAATTTCATATAAATTTGTCATCTAGGGCACAGCTGTCCAAATCACTGTACAGATTAGAGGGCCTCAGAAACAAATACATGCGTTCATAGTTGTTTTGGAAAAAAAAACTACGATTCTAATATTAAATTTAGTTTTATTAATTTAAATATATATATTTGGTTTACCATGAAAATAAAACAATATTGTTTTGTCGCTACATTAAAAGAAAATTTGCATAATTGTAGTAGATTAAAAACATGTCGCGGACCGCACAAACATCACACGCGGGCCGCATGTGGCTTATGGACCGTGCTTTGGACAGCCCTGATCTAGGGTATCAAGTCATTTCAGCATTTTAATTTACTATATCGTGATTGTATGAGCTTTAATATATTTATTATATATTATTAATAGTTCAATATATCTATTGATCTGTTATTGGATTGAATGTATTAAGCGAACCCGAAAAACTTACAATTAACAAACGTATTCAATAGAAAAATGATTTATTGTGATCCATTAGATATATTAAACTATAGCTAGACAGAATCTTTTAAATGAATCTAAATAGTTTACAAGTATAGACGAACCTAGCTTCAAGATGCCAGACCTAATTTTATTTAATGAAAGCTGTAGGGAGATACTGGATTACTTTTATGCTAATAATAGAGCACAATAAGTAGATAATATATCCAAAATAATATTATATATAATATATAAAATTTGGAAGAATGGTTGTTAGTTTTATCTTTGATAGTTTTCATTTTTAAATTATAAGGTATCTACCGAAATGGGTTGAATTCCTGTCTTATTTTTAAAACTAAATCTTTTAGCTTCTGCTCAAAAAGCACCTGAATTTTGTTGTTTGTTAACTACTCCTTAAATAATAGACCTTCTTCAATAGACATTTTTTTGTTATGTTGGTACACCCTTTCTTGACATATGGTACAAATTTGAGCGTCATCTGTCAATTAGTTTGTTTATAGCAGCTTTTAATGTGAGACTACCTCAAGTGCATTTAGCGATTTTTACTATGGAAAATTCTTGTTGTACGCGATTTTTTGACCAAACTCGGCACCACTATCATCGCTCAGGCACCATATTCGCCAGATCTGGCACCGTGCGACTTTTTCCTGTTCCCGAAACTCAAATTGCCCCTTCATGGTAAGCGTTTTCAGTCGATTGAATCGGTAAAAGAGAAATAGCAGAAGGAAGTAAAACCCATACCTGCACGGGCCTACGAAAAGTGTATGGAAGATTGGAGCATATTTTGAAGGAGATAAAATGAATTTGGAATAAAATTTAAATTTGTGTGTTTTATTTACAAAATCCGGGTACTTTTTGAGCTGGAGGTACTAAATATAACTTAATTGATTTTATGTTAATGAAAAGAAATATTTTAAAAGAGTTTAAAAACATTATTTTTTCTTAATATCAACAGCAGTGGTAACTAGTAAGACAATTGTGAAATACGTTTAATTAATTATTTTTAATTATTGTAATTTAATTATTTTAAAGGAATTACACATTTCTATAAAAAAGCTTGTTTATAAAAAACCAAAGTAAAAATTTAAATAATATTAAAAAAAATTGAAAAAAAAAATCATTTTTGAATGATGTTAATTAAAATGTATTTTTTAAAGCCTTTGTATTTCTTAATCACGTGCCAAATATTTTAGTACAATTGCTAAATTTTTGCAATTATTTACGATTCGTTGATTGTTTTAATTATTATTTTAGTTTTTCGCAAAGAGAACTAACTCGATTGAAACTTAAAAATTGAGTTTTAAGTATTGAAATGAATAACCAAATTAAATTGCAACAATTGCAACAAAAAATAAATGCATTTTTGTTTTTCGAATTTAGTATTGAGTTTACCAATTAAAGAAAATTACTTGTGTAAAATAGTTTATAAGTAATTTATAAGTAATTTGTTTTTTATCTAAATTACGTACATCCAATACATTTCAATTTAATGCTTTTCCTTCAGATTTCTGTGTTACATTCTAAGAAAATTTATTGATCAAATTAGTTCTGGTAATTTCCGTCTCAAGATACCCAAAACGTCTTGAACAGGAATTAATTTGGAGTAGTTGTGCTTTCATTTTTTTAAATGTTTCTGTTTTTTGGAAAGGATTTGATTTTTATGTAGTCCGATATTTATATAGGGGACTGTTTCAAAATAAAAATAAAAACTAATTTACCAGTTTTTATTTTATACACATAAGCCTTTTCTAACAACTTAAGAAGTAATTTATTTTTATTAGTACGAACCCCAATTGCTTAAATTTACTTTTCTTGAGTTTTTATTTTTTCCTTTTTTTTTTTTATTTTTGAACAATGCTATATTGTCGATACATGAAAAAATTTGAACTTCTGTATTAAATACGCCCAGCGAAAATGATATGAGATCGAATATAGCGAGAGATACCACATTAGCTCATCTTACCTCCGAGTGTATTACCAAACTATTCGACATATAACTCTTTATTGAAATTCTAGCTCTTTGGCTTTTCAGTTGTCGTTACAGCTATATTTTACTAACTTACTAGATATATTGCATGTGTCTAGTACTATAGAATTAATTTAAGGTCGTACATATTTATCAGATGCTAGTTTAAAATCTAGAAAAAGTATATGTAAATAGTATATATAAGGTATATAGCACTTTTCTCTTGTTGGGCTAAGTACAAAAGTTTGGTCAGTCGTAGATATTATCACACAAAATTGCACTGATATTTTGTCAACTCTTAGAAAAGGTCTAGAGATTGGTAGTTAATATTTTTCAATACTGGTAAATTCATTGAAAGTATAATATTGATATATATAGTAATATATTAATAATATGGATTTTATCGTAACATATTTTTTACTTTTGCAAGTACTATAATATGTTACTATATATGTACTATATAGTACTATATATGTTAAACAGTTATTAGAATTTTTTTAGTAATAAAAATTTGTATATATATTTGTTCGTTTCTCATAAATGGGCAGGAAATAATTATTGTTTAATAATTTTAAAATATTGTGTGAACATTTTTGTTTTTAATTGGAGACTGTTATGCATATGTGCATGTACATATATAATAATTAATATATATACATATGTGTTAAGATTTTAAGTATCAAAATCTCACAAAAACTGGTGTTAAAACTTTGTCATTTGTTAATCAAATTTTTTTCTAATTCTTTAGTTACTTGTTTAGTATCACTTATTCACTTATAATTGTGTTGAATAAAATAATAAAAAACTAATTATCATTCCATAGATTTTATATCTAAATTTTATTTCTCATAGTACCTTTATTCAAGGTGAAACGAGTTCGAATGTCGATTTGCGGTAGTAGCCACTTGATCAGACTTACTGACTGACACGCTAAGTTTATCTTTTATTTCCATTAACAAGTTTTTACATATTAAAATAGGAAATATTTTATAAAATTAATATCAATATAATAAATATTAATTTTAAAATAAAATCTTATTTCATTTTTTTTTTGGTTAAAGAATTTACAATTTACATAGAACTAATTATTGAAATAGGTATGTAAAACCTATTACAAACACGCAAAGTACTCATAAATATTTTATGGCACAATTTTATTGGAATAAATGTACTTGAATCTGAATATAAATCTTGACTGCTTCTAAATATATGTATACCATCCATATACGACTACATATCAAACGTACTCTCTTATATTGAATTGTTTTATAAAAATTTTTATTTATTATTTACTTTTTCAATAAACCTTTGGTTTGAATATGTAGAATATGTATTCTTCTGGAATTACAAGAGTTCAATAAATAATTATATTTTATATTTATATTAACA